TTTGAATCAACTAAAAACTATTGGGAAACGTTAATAAGTCCGGGTAATGTTTGTTTTCTTTTCCGATATTTCATCTCATTTTTAATAAAAAAGTTATACAGATTAAAAAACATATAAATATTAGATCTACCATAAAGACTGATCAAGAAGGTATACAAATTATTATAAAAATAGAGATTTAAATAACCCGAATACGTCGCATATTATAAGTAGTATTGTAAAGCAAAAAAAATATATTTATACATAATTACCAAAAACAACTACTAGGTCCAAGGTACATACAGGGTGTTGTACCATGAACATAATTCTCGTTTTTTCTTTAATCATTTATAATTCTAATAAAATATATTGGAATCATTCTTCAAAAATTAAGTTATGTGCCTTATTAACTAGTAAACTATATACAATCTATAAAATGTGAAAATTATTTAGGATTTTGAAAAAAAAAAAAAATATACCCAAGGTACACATATTCCCGTGAATTTATCATATTTTATTTCTCTCTTATTACAGGTCTTGAAGTTGTGTACAGTGGTAATATGTATAGTAATTCTGCTAATTTCACTTGTAACTTGCGAAAGAAAACTAAATGGAATGAGAAAAATGACTTCTCATCACTTCATCTGAGCAATAACTTTGTTATCTTGTTTATGATATTGTGTTCTAAGACTTTAAGGGCAGTGCACACTGAAGTCGCAATAATTAATGTTTTTAATACGATTAAAAAGTTGTTTCAATTATTGATTATTACTAATAGACTTGTGCCACTTAAAAAAAAAACATTCTTGTAATAACATTTTACAGTTAAACTTTTTTCAATTAATTTATGAGAATGGTGTACACCATTGACTGTGTTATTATAAATATACAAAAAGGTCATCCATGTCTGACTAAAACAATCATTAGATCATTTTTTTTTAAATGCACTGATAGCACTTAAAATATGGCTCATATGAAAGTGAAAATTGCATCGCGTGTTCTCTACTCATCGCTTTCATTAATTATTATATTCATTTTCCACCGGTTTGTTTAGTTAAATTATGCAAACACACGCATATTTTGTAGCGAACTCGCTAAAACATGTTGCATTTGAAGTTAACCGCGTGTAAGTTATGATTTATGTAATTTCTGGGCCGGAACATGTTAGTATACGATCCAACGTCCATGAATACATTCACGAGTGTAATCCATAAATGGGTTTGCACAGTCCATTAATTTGAGAACTTCGATTCATCTTTCTAATATTTTACTACAAAATTACAAATAACATTCGGTATAAATAATAGATTTAATTGAATCATTCAGCGATACATTGTGTAAACAGTAGATCTACCCTATGGGTGGTCAATGTGCCAATTTGCCTTTAAAATCTAGTAACATATATTCGCTTGCTTTCTATGGTCCAATACGTTTTCGAAAGGAAAATCGTTTTGTAAATTAAAATAGGTCGTCATGTATGTGCATTGCGAGTAGTGATGTCATGCACTCGTGGCTTCCGCATCCGCTCGTTGATAATTATTCGTCGACTACGCTCGCCGCTAACCATGACCACATATACACATTTACGACTGAATATTATCCCTGCATGAGCTATCTTCGCCATTTTCCTTTCTAGACATCGTATTAATGACTCACCATATCGCAATTATTTCATGGTTCTGTAGCAGCTAGTTTGCAACTATCACAAATTTGATCAAATTTGCAACTTTGGTCGAATTAATTAAAAGATATCGCAATTATTTCACACTTCTGCAATAGTCGGTTACAGCTATTTTCAATTTGACAAAATTTGAAACTTTGGTCAAATTATAACTAGGAGGTATAGGTATAGTGATTCATAAATTTGTAACCTTCTTTAAATTAACGAAAAGGTACATAGTAATTCATAAGTTTGTAACTTTGGTAAAATTAACCAGACGGTACATAATGATTCATAAATTTGTAACTTTGTTAAAATTAGCACAAAGTTACATAGTGATTTATAAATTTGTAACTTCGTTAAAGTTAATGGAAAGGTACTTATATAGTGATTAAAAAATTTGTAACTTTGTTCTAATTAACCAAAAGTTACATAGTGACACACCAATTTGAAATAAACTGTCGCTGAAGGTATTAGGTTGTTGTATAATAAATGTGGCTTCTGGACTGTAAACTTGCAATGACTATGACTAGTACTGTCACTTTTATCAATTGATTAGTGTGGTTTTCTTGATAATAAATTTAAATTACATTTATATTAACAAATGTTTCACAGAGTTAATAACACATACATTACATTATATACATATTCGTTTTCGTATTAATATTTTACTTAAATGAACATGCCTACTTTCTTTATTTCTTCCTATTCCTCACATTCAATATTTTAACAATAAGAAGTTTTTATAACAGACGTTCAGCTTATTTGATTAAATACTTTTTACATGGAATAATAGTATGTAATGAATTGTGTAATCTATTATTGCTGGCATATATATATATATATATTTCAAAATTTCACAACTCTTTCGTTTGTTAATTATTTTTATTTACTAGAGTTATAAAATTAATAAATGGTGACTTACAGGCTACACTGTATAAACCGCAAGGAGGTAATTCTTTATGAAAAAAATATCGAATGTCTGAAATAAAATTTTTCAAAATATCACATTGTTTTCGTGAGAAATGCCTTTAAAAATTGGTTGGTTGCACAATGTGAACTGCACATGTTATTATATTATACATATTTGTTCATCACACGTTGTTCCTATTGTGTGTACAAATGCATGTGACATAAATTTTCAAGGCCATTTTTCTTGAAAATAGAGTGTTCAATAATTAGGCTTATTTTTTCGTAAAAAAATCAACCCATTGTCGGTTGTATCACTATTAACAGAGCACGTTGTATATTAATGCGTTCATTTATTTAAAATGTATTTTAAGAAGCATTTGAATACGATAGAATATAACAAAGAAATCAATCAAGTGCGAAATGATAAGAAAATATTTGTAAACATTTTTAAAGAACTTCGATAATGTTCATTTATTCTGTTTCAAACATATTTTCTTTAATATAAACTTTTTAGTATTTGATAATATATTTGTTTTAATTGCTTTATTTAAAATTTGTTATGACCTAATTTGTTTATACGCCTAAAATGTCGTAACGAGAAGAAATATGTCAGAGGAAACACTAAAAAATGCTCTTAAACGTAATGATATTTAAGCATTTCATTTGCCAAAGTGATCAACACCGCAAAAGTGAACAAGTAAATTTATTTTAAATATATAAATTTAAGTACCAATCAATTGCTTTGGCGCTAAAATTTGAATAAATTCAAGAAGTGAAGTTATTCACTTTGGCCAAGAAACTCTAGACTAGAGACTTGAACGTGTTCTTACATCACCGTGAATCACTTTATGCATAAAAACGTCTCAAAGCGGCAAGAGTGAAGGTTCTTCAATAAAGTCAACCTTTAGATGGTCGTTCCACGGTTCTCTTCCACCGACCCCCTTGTCGATCACTTCATTACTCTAACGAGAATAGGTCAGACGATAGAGGATATTGGGAAATCTCGAGGGTTACGTGTTTGAGTAATTACCTAAAGAGATTCAATTATTTACTGGCTTTGGTGCTTTAAACTCCTCGAATAATGTTCAATACCGTTAGAAATTTTGGGTCTTTGTTGAAATTGTAGAGTTTGTATTTTCAAATGTCAGATTATAAAAAATAAGTTGAGAAAGAGCATACTGTTTAATTTTTCGTAGTTTCATTCATTTCCTCTGCAACCTTCAGTCCAAAAGTATGATAATAATTAGACTGCAGATGTTTATGCATTTATAAGAAATGTTAATATGCAACATGCAGTGAAATAAAGACTTTAATGAAATTTAATCACTTTCGTGTATTATTATCAATATAGTAAGACATCTAATACAGGAAATAAATTTTTACCTAACTTTCAGGTTTATAAAATATCTAACATTATGAATTTGCATAAACTTCTACAGTCTAATAATAATATTCAACCTAAAACACACTAGATTACGTGAATCAATAGGGTATGACAATTTTCTACCTTTTTTACGAAAAAGGGCTGAAATGTGTTCGAAATTCAATTAGATTTATTAAAAAATTAAGAAACGAAGAAATCGAAGAATGTTTATTTGAAGAATGAAAAACTTCGGAGGAACGTAAAATTTGTCTGTAAAATGGTTTTCTTGAAAGATATACATATTAACTCGCCAATGTGACAAAGTTTTCCGCTGACAATATCTTAATTCTGCAAACTGAAAATAACAAAGAATTATGTTATCTGCATAGTTCCTCAAGGCAGTGCTCGTTAAATTTTACTATCACTGGTGACGTAATGTATAAGCAAAATGCACATTCCAAAACCTACCATTATTTACATATTAAATATTGACAATTTTGACTATATAAAAAAAAGTTATATTTAATATTAACTTTTAAGACTTACGTAATAAGTATTAAATACATATTACATATATATTAAATATCGACAGCTGTAACTGTTTAAAAAAATGTCATATTTAATGTTAACTTTTAAATACTCTCATAAAATATATAAAAAAAATTTCTGAAATAATTGATTAAAATTAGTTTAAAAAATGTTGTATCTAACAAGAGCTTCAATAAAGGGAACAAACATCAGTTTTAATAAATTAGAAAAATTTTCGGTCCAAATTATAAACATTATACCAATTGTTTCTGAAAATCATGGTTAACAACATATCAGTTGATATTCAATTTCTTTTTGTGGACACAAATATCTTTACAATAACGCTTCTACTTTTCTGCAGATAATTTGCATTATGTCACGACCTTGCAAGACAGGCGAAGGCGGGCTAATTGCTTGGTATAAATTATCCCCGAGTCCGTTTTACATCATTGTGTGTGTTCGCGGAGAGATAAAGATGGACGAATGGAAGACGATAGTACTCTCAGCCGGAGGTGTCGTGACATTATAATGAAACCTTGGTTATTTTGTATGTTTCAGGCTTCAATGGATTTGCCGCCGGATAAGGCAAAGCTCTTGAAACAGTACGACAACGAGAAAAAATGGGATATCATATGTGATCAAGTAAGTGTTCGCTGTACAGTAACATTTTGTTTGCGTTTAAAGTCAGCTATAGCTGGTATCCGTGAACTATTCAGTACAAGGTTTATGTCGGAAGGAATACACTAGAGCTGTAACTGTTTGGGTATTCGAACTATTCGAATAATTCGAATAGTACTAAGTATCCAAATAATTTCAATAGTACGAAGTATCCGAATAACTCGAATAGAACAGAGTATTTTAATATTCGAACATTCGAATAATAGAAGTAATCGGATTTCGGATACTGTATTCAGTTGTTGCACATGAAATGATCGTTTTATTACTGGTATTTGATATTCAACATTATCCGAATTTTATTAGACAAAGTAAGATTAAATGGAATCTATACACGTTTTTCACTGAAATACCTGTATTACATTCGTGTTATATTCAGTAAGTAGTTATTATATTGAATTTGCAGGTGACTCTTCAAAGCCATTTTTGGTTCCCAACTTTCCGTCAAATGTTGTCATTTCAAAATAGTATTTTTTAACAGAAACTTAGATGCATCTTTATAAAGTTTATTTATAAATGTGGCTCAAATGTCCAACCTTTAATGCACGTGGGGGAAATCACCGAATTTACCTTTAATATCTATAATATTTAACATGCATAAGTAATTTTATTGTTGTGTTAAATAGTGCCTGGAAACGAGTAGAGTACAGCATGTGATTGTGCAGTAAAGAAAGGGGTTATTTTAATCATTTTCATTCATAAAAGTGACGTCGAATATAGCTGTCACTAAATCGCCGACTTCATGTGCAAGGATCCAATACAAACAGCGAAGTCTCTGAGACCTTACCTACAGTATTAGAGGATTCAATTCAAAGTCTTTGAAGTGCTTAACCTTTTGGGGTACCGATTTATTTGAACAAAATTTTTCATATGGAACAGATTTATTTTTTTAATTTTGGTCTGTTGCAACTTATATTAACTAATCTAAAATGAACAAGAATATACATTTTAAATACGGTCTCAACTCGAATGACGAGTTAGCCCAAAAGCAGTGCATGGCAAGTGTCAATGTACTCAAATGTACTCAAGGGGTTAAGTTACATTGAACATTTAATAAAAATATGTTTGTACGGTGATATATTTAATTTAGCAGAATGGAATTCGTGAACGTTTGTCGCGAAATTGATGCAGTGTTGCCATCACGACGAATTATAAAAATGACGTAATCGGCCCTTGACTTGACGAACGTATCGTTAATCGGCGCATTCTGACAATGAGATCCTCGCCCGCCTTCTAACCATTTAATTCCGCACTGACCAATGAATGCGGGTTCACGACCCGTATTTTTATACCGGGTGTCCGAATTTAAGTGTCGTTCCGAGTTACACCTAAATTGACAATTTTATGAAACAGTGAGAGAAAGAACCTTCTTCCATTTTTCACTAATTTGTCGGACATAATACAATAGAAATAATTTTTTTGATTTCAATTTTTTTTTTAAATACTTACGAATTCGTATATACAGTCACTCGCGAAAGTATACCCGTAAAAAGGTAACTTTGATTAATATAAACAATAACCTGTAGTAGCATATTTATTTATTAACGTATGATGTAATATTTATTTTATAACAAAATGTATTAGTCTATAGGAATATTTCAGTAAATAAAAAAAACACCAATTATGCATCTCACAAGAGAGACTTGGGGGGGGGGGGGGGGGGGGGGGGGGGAACATTTTTATATTGGAAATGTGTTTGAGAGGTTCAGTCAGTAATAACGAAAGAAAGACAAAAAAGTACTTCACCATTTTTAATTTTTCATTATGTTACATTTCACTTTGGAAATTTTTAATAAAATTATAAATTCTGCATACTGTGTTGTGTGGTCCTTATTGTGAAAGAAACCAGTTCGTTCGAATAATTTGCCTGATTTTTTAGTAAAATGAATCTAATATGCATGAGCAACTACGTCCAGTAGGCAGGAAAAGTACATTAAATCCTCGATGAGTGTTCGCAAGCTCCTCGGCACTGAACATTAAATATTTCTAATTTACATTAATAATTATGCAAGCTCTATCGTCGTGTTAAACCTAATTAAAATGTTAGCTTTACACCTGGGGATCCCCCCTTGTCAGTGTCGGAGAGCCTTCGAACACTCATCGAAGATTTACTCTAGATGGTTAACACAACGTTGGGTCCTACTGTATTAACGTAGCAGGAGTATTTGAGTTCTTTTAAAACAAGTATAGTATTTACATAAAAGAACAAAAAAATTGGTGATCCAGTTATTAACACTAGAACTACCAATGATAAACGTATATCTGTTATGATCGGTCAATAAACTTGAGAAACTTTTGAAAATTTACAAATTTATAATTCAACGAATTTCTTCACTTTCAGATCGTAGTATAAGCGGAAAATGATCCGAGATAATGTATTGTTATAACTAGACTGCGGGTTTTATGCAATTATAGCCTATAGGGAGGGCTCTGTGAAATATAATAAAAAATTAAACTTTCATCGGATCCAACGAAGTCTTTATTTTATTCTGAACCCAACAGGATACTTAAGAGGGAAAATATATTTCTACGATTGCTCCCGTCTTTATAAATTATTTTAGAAACTTTCATTTTGCATAAAAATCCGCAGTCTAGTTATAACATTGTAATCATTGTTATAGGAGTGTACTAACAAGTCATTTTGACTTGTTTGGTAGTTCTAGTGTTAATGCACCTAATAAAAAAGCGTGTAAAATCTAAAACACGTGTTATTATATACAACATATATAGAGATCAACATCACCGACCGGACATATTTAGCCATTGGTATGCGTCGTGGTACGTCTACGGCGGTATGGTTAAGTGGATTTAATCTCGAATTCAATCGAGGGCGAGCGAAAGTGTCGTCGAACGAGACACCTCTTCTGATTCGCGAAGGGCGTGGATTACGGAGGATGCATTAAAGCGCGTCATAAAAACACATCGACCGGTCCCATGATTTTTACAAGTACAGGCAAATTTGATGTTACGATAAACTTGATCCCATGTCACACTCAGAACGAGTGTCGTTCGTGATTGAATATAAAATTCATAATTACTAGCGGTGAGACATGTTATTGAATAAATGCTACAGCTTTGAATGACACCACTGAAGAGCATAAGGGTAATAAGATCAGGGTTCATTTGGTGTATGTTATGGTATTCGGATACATATGAATGTATTTTTTATTGTAGACTGTAGTATTGTCAGTTAAATGTTAGTAGCTTCAATAGTGAGAAAAAATGGAATAATATTTAGTTATAGGCAACATTCATTCATTTTCTGCTAATATACATACAGGGTGTATCAAATACATAGGTTGGCCAAAACTTTGGATATTAGTTCTATGTATCTGTCCAAACAAGAAAAAGACATTATTAATCCAGAAACGAATATTAATGTCAAAAAGACGGATTAAAAATTATAATTGGTCCTTTGGTACAAAATTATATTAATATAAATAAAGGTAGAGACCAATAACGTGGAGGTCATGCAATGAGGCTATTCTATAAAAATAAATAAATTATAAAAATGCGTTTTAGGACACATATTTGTATGAATTTTTTTTGTTGACACAGAATTCAAATCCATATTGTCGCTCAACTTTTTTGATACACCCTGTATAAAACTTCTTAATATATAATATAAAACCAATTTTTGTATTATTTCTATGTACAGTGTGATTCATCTAATGTGACTAATAATTATAAATAAAGAAATATAGTTCAAATAATGTCATGTTTGGTCTCATTTTAATCAAAAGAATCAACATATTAAGAAAATCCAGTGATATCTCAGAAACTGTTCACATTAGGCCCTATATAAAATAATACTTTTTGTGCAGAATTTAGTACTGTATCGAAATTCGAGATGAGATATTGGGCATTCCATTTAAAAAATTGGAGATAACCGTTATATCTTGATAAAAGTGTAACAGTAAAAAACATATTTTTGCATTATGTGACCCCCTTAATAACATGCAACTTGTTTAAAATATTTTTTCATACAGCCAAAAATGTACGAGTAATTGAGGTGGTCACGTTAGGTGAACCACCCTGTACAATAAATTATAACTGTGACAAACAACTTCAACGAATAATACGTAATGAAAAATATTCATACACATAGCGTAAGAAAATATAAAACCCTATAAAATACTCTGAATGCAATTGATTGTGAATTTTTCGGCCAGCAGGGTCACGCGAAGGAATTGAAATTGTTTCGTAATTTTACAACGAAAAGCGATCTTTCTTTATTCGTTGTAAGACGTCCCTTAAAACATTTCTTATGAAAGAACAGAATGGTCTCCCGTCTATATATGCGCCAGTTGGGTTTTGTATTCGGAAACGGCGGAAGGGAAACGGTATAAAAGGGTTTCCCTAAAGAGTTCCTGGAAGGTTTTTGCGGTTTAGGTGGACCATTCGGCTCGTTAAACCGTCGAGAGCCAAACAGCTGGGGTGGAATTCGTCTCGAGTGGAAATTACTCTTTTTTTCTCCCCTCGCGAGCTGCACCACCGGCTACCCGTGGAAAGTACAAAATGGATTTAACGAGTCGTCTGGATCGAAGGGAACAAGATCCGCGGAGATTAAGCAGTCTCCCTCGCTTTCTGGATTATCTCGGACGTTTGAAGCGCCGGAATTATGAACAATGGGGGATGCACCTTAATAAAATTAATGAATTGCGTACGAAAATAGCAGAAGACATAACTTTCCCTTTCACAAATCTTGTACATTTGTAACTCGGAATATGATAAATATTAAGTCGATTCATAAGTGATGGTAATTCTCAAAGTGACGTTTTCGCATTACTGTCACCTATGTTTTCCGAAGACGGGTCATATTGTTACAGTGATATGTTACATGCTACACTCAAACCTGTTTTTGTGCGGGGGATAGGGACCGCATAAAAGAAGACGCACAAAAGGAAATACAGTAATGTCCTGATAAGTGTGAGTCACAACACAATATAAATAATTGACATCGCTAA